TCTCACCTACATCGTCCACCTGGGACGACTCGGGAACTCAACTCCTACCCCGGGCAGCTCACCCATCCCCCTATGCCCAGGGGAAAGGTTTCAAGCCGTTTGACAGCAGATGCAAGCTGTCAAAACGGCTTTTACGCAGAAACAGGCGGGAGGCAGCAACAGCTGCGTCCAACGGAGTAGCCTGCCACCGGAAGTCTCCTCTCTGTCTATCTATCTTATCTATCTACCTATCTATCTACCTGCCTGCCTACCTACCTACCTACCTACCTACCTACCTAATCATCTATCATCCATCCATCCATCTCTCTCTCTCTCTGTCATCTATCATCCATCCATCTATTCCTATCTATCTATCTATCTATCTATCTATCTATCTATCTATCTATCTATCTATCTATCTATCTATCTATCTATCTATCTATCTATCTATCCATCTCTCTCTCTCTCTCTCTCTATCTTATCTATCATCCATCCATTATCTATCTATCTATCTATCTATCTATCTATCTATCTATCTATCTATCTATCTATCTATCTATCTATCTATCTATCTATTTTTTTCCTTTTGGAGGGGAAAGCGATGATGATGATGATGATGATGATGATGATGATGATGATGATGATGATGATGATGATGATGATGTTTGAAGGTACCTTGGAGGTCATCTAGTCCAACCCCCTGCTCAGGCAGGAAACCTTATACCATTTGTCAGATTACAAACTGGTTCTCTAATTTAGATGGATACCAGCCTGCTCTCAACCTATTTACCAGAAGTGACTCGAATGGCCCGAAAATTTACACACATTTCAACTCTCCTGCAGGTACGGTAATAAAATCTCTGATGCCTTTTCCCACTAATATTTGATGATTGAGTATTAAAGAAAAAGAAGATACAAAATATGTGGAACTTATTTTATCAATGGCTGGAAAAAGAGCTTAACTTGTATTACTAAGCAAAACAAGTCACAAATATAAGCACTAATGAAATGTAATAATAGAAAATCAATACAATGTTATTTTTTTTTAAAAAAACAACAACGATGTTTTTTTCTCCTATTTGTGAACAGTACATCAAGCTTTCCCTGAGTTGTATGTGTGAAGCTTGGGAAGAAATATTGATGCAAATGGATTCGCGATTAACCAAGTTTGTGCAGGTATGGTGAAAACACGATCCCCTCCAGTTATTATTTTAATCCTGCATTACCCAGTACACTTTTTAATAACAAATAGTCCTGGATTTAAACAGTTCATTTAGTGAATTGTTAACAACAGCACTGAAAAAAGGTGACTTATGACTGTTTTTCACACTTACGCCCGTCGGCAGCAACCCCATGATCACGTGATCAAAATTCAGACGCTTGGCAACTGACATGTACTTACGACGGTTGCAGCGTCCCAGAGTCATGTGATCCCGTTCTGACTGTTGTAAGTCGAGGATTACCTGTATTTTATTAAAATCTTATGCTAGCAATCTCCCCTATAAGGTGACCCATCCGTGCCATCTTCCAGGATTCTTCTGACGTTGTCAGTCAAGTCCACTAGATTGAGATTTCCTGTTATTCTCCATCCCAGTCGGGTCTGACCATCTCGGCTATTGGAAGATCAGCTGGGAATAACAATGGAAAATTCATATGGAAGACAGGAAAGGAGTAAAATTCAGAGATAATATTTGGATGGTGACTCAGCCTGCTCTTTTCTTGCCTATAAACCTTGAGATCTGCCTTCTCTATATTCTTCTGTGGAGATTGAAATGCCTGGGTGCAACAATCTCTTTTTTTTTTCTTTTTTTTTAGGAGAAGGATACCACCACCTCTGTACAAGATGAATTTATGGAGTTACTTTTGTGGGGCAAAGCAAGGTGCGTATTCAAACCCTGTCTAGATTTTGACTGTACTTCCAACAGGGAAAAAATGAAGTTGCGTCCAATTTTTCTTCCCTCCCTCTTCTTCTCCTTCTCCCAAAAGTATTGAACTTCAGGCCCTGCTAATGAATCAGCTAACGGTAAAGGTAGGTCAGCTTATGTAGTATGAAATTATGGTGGTTTGTGTTGTTTTGTCAAGCTGGACAAAAGGTGCCATTTCTTCCCACAGGGTTTAAAAAAACTGGGCCAGTCCATGGAATCTTCCTACTCCAGTATTCAAAAGCTGGTGATAAGTCACTTGCAGAGGTAAAAATTCAGGAGCTGCGCTGAACTTTTGTGATGTTTTTTTTAACTTGGAGTGTTCTCAATATTATTATTATTGCTCTTTTCTCAGTTATGGCCCTAAACCAGGGGTAGGCAACCTTGGCTCTTTTATGACTGGTGGACTTCAACTCCCAGAATTCCTGAGCCAGCCTGGCTCAGCTTGGAAACCTCTCCCTTTCCCCTCAGCATGGCTGGCTCAGGAATTCTGGGAGTGGAAGTCCACGAGTCATAAAAGGGCCAAGTTTGAAGACCCCTCAGTCAGAGGAACATATGAAAGCATAATTAATGTTAATTAATGTAGACTTTATTAGTTTAGAGCAGGGGTAGGCAACCTTGGCTCTTTTAGGACTCCTGGACTTCAACTCCCAGAATTCCTGAGCCAGCATGGCTCAGCTTGGAAACCTCTCCCTTTC